CCTGGGCATGGGCATGAACACGCAAGCGATCAGCGCGAACTATGTTAAGACCTGCGCAATGCTTTTCAATGCGCTTGGGCCCATCATAAAGGAAATAGCGGTGCACGTGAACGTCGAGCTAACCGTCGGAACGCTGTTATTCAATTTCGAGAGCGTCGAGTCAGGCCAGCTCGACGTTGCAATGAGCAACACCAGGTTCTTGCTGCTGCTAGGCGAGTTGCTCTCCTTCTACGACTTGTGCGTGCGACAGCTGCGTTACATTCGGTTCAGCCGTTACAAGCTCATCAACGCAACCTGTGTCGAGCTGTGTCTCAACTACGTGCGACGCCGTGAAGTGTCGGTGGTGGTCGCGGGCTTGATGCAGTTCGACATTATGTTTACGGTCGGCAGCATTTCCGGCACGGTCGGCGGACGATGCACGAGGTTGACGAAGGTGAGCGCGTACTACAGAGTGCTCATGGAGAGCTGCGTGGAGCTGTTTCGTTCGTTGCGGCTCGTTATGCCGCACAGTGCGGTAATCGCAGAGCTCAATGAGTGTGTGTCGCCGCTGCTGCGGTGCGACATAATTCCGAAAGCCGCAGTGATGCAGAAAATCCGACAGAATATTGACATAGGCGCCTTTTGCGTTTCAGAGGAGCAGGTACTGTCGGAAAAAAGAGACCGGCCCGAACGCATCCTGGAGATACTCGAGTGCGTAGTGCTGTTGGGCGATAGGTGGCTCGAGTTGTACGCTGTGCGGACTTCTTATTCAATACTGTTCTACAGCTGCGCGGACGGTGCGTTTTCGTTAGTGAAAGAGCTGGGGTTCGCTCAGATTAAGCACTGCTTGCTGAGTCCAGTGATGCGTACTGTGACGTTCGTGCTTGTCTCGTCGGACGTGTACCACGTGGTGCTGATGAAGGGCGCGAAGGCGGTAGAGCTGGGCGTCGAAGTCGCGAAGCTGGCGCGGAAGGCAAGTGGGAAGCAGCTGCACGCGACCTTGGACATCGCTGCGAAAATTTCCGTGACAGGGCTGTACTCTTACTTTCGCTGGTCAAGCGGCGCGAGGCTACTGATTGTGCCGGTGAGCTCGCCGATCGGGCTGGCGTATTTGGCGCTCAGCGCGGATTTGTGTGGTTTGATATCCGTGGATTTTTCGCTGTGGTACTTGCCGAGCGTTGAGGCGCAGGAGAGCGTGAATGGGTCGAGTGACGCGTTGCTGCGCAGTTCGATAAACTCGGAAAGGTGAGTTGCAGCGTGCGAAAGTCAGTCCGATTGTGAACGTGCTCAAGAATTTTCTGGGATTCGAGAACAACGCGCACCTTGTGCAGCACGCGTTGACGAACACGAGCAACAGTTCGGCGCAGGTAAGTAGTCAGAGCGGGTTCTTAGGCAGACGCTGCGCGCGACGAGAGCATCCTGTTGGGGAACATTCCGCACTGGACTGGCGACGTGCAGCGGCGCAACCTTGCGCTGAAGGTGCACGAACAGGAGATATCGAAGCGGAAGAACGCCCGAAAAATTTACACAGTGGTGTTCAGCGCCGCGGTCGAGGCGTTGAAAAGCGCAGAGTTCGCGGGTCTCGAGACACTGGAAGTGGCGCTGACGTTTGAGAAGTACGACGCGCTGGGTGCAGGAAGCAACTCGCCGTTGGACGGGCCGCAGCTGAAGCTGCGGTTTTACACTCCCGCAGACCTGGACGCGTGCCGTAGCGCGTTGCTCGAGACGCTGATGCAGAGCGAGAAAGGCGACGCGTGGAAGCGAATTTGGTACACAGAAGAGCCGCGGTGAACGCAGATGTCCCGAGGATAGCGATCGTTTTTTGTGAGACGCACATCAGCACCTGTTTGGAAAGCAAAAAGTCGGAATGAAGCAAGTCCTCGGTTGGATGCTATTTGCGGTCGCTTCGGCCACTGTGCGCTCGGGCAAGCAGCACTCGGACGCAGTGTACACTTGTCCGGAGACGTTTACTCTGCAGGGCAAGAAATGCGTGCGGCAAACACATGTGATCGGCAACAAGCGGTGCGCGCAAGGTACTCTGATGGCGGACAAGTGCGTCGCGCCTGCGCAGCCGCTGACCTCTTGCCCGACGGGCAGTCTGCCAGTGGCGGGCGGCTGCCAAATCAAGGAGCAGTTGTCGCCGGAGATGGTATGCCCGCCGGGCGCGCACGACATCGGCGGCACTTGCGTGACGTACAACGTCACGGGGATCGTGGAGGTCTGCGCCGCTGGCGTGTTCGAGAAAGGCGAGTGCGCGATTTACGACTACTTGCCGCCGATGCGCAAGACGGGGTGTCCCGTGGGCTACTCCGAGGCGAAGGGCAGCTGTTGGAAGAAGGCGCACCTCGAGTGTTCCGCGCCTTTTGTCGGCAAACGGCACTTGGCGGGCGTGCAGCAGCTCGAGACGATCGAGCTGCGTCCGGAGCTGCAGTCGAAGTACGCGCCGGGCACGTCGAAGGTCGCGATCAAGTCGAAGGACTGCGAGGTTAAGCTAGAGGCGACGCCGATCGTCGAGCTGTCCTGCCCGGCGAACTCCACGCTGCTCGACGGGCGCTGCGCGGTGAAGCGCGTGGAGCCGACGCAGATTGCGTGCTCGCTGGGCGAGTCGTACAAGTGCTTCCCGACGGAGCCGGTGCGCGGCGCGTTCAAGTGTCGGCTGGGCTACCTATTGAACGGCGACGTGTGCGAACGCACGACGCTGATGAACCGCGAAGTGCAGTGCAGTCCGGAAGACTTCCCGGGCCCGAACGGCTCGTGCATCAAAGTGCTTGGCGAGGCGATGGTGCAGTGTCCGGCGGGCGCGACCTTGTCGGGCGACGTGTGTCTGAACACCGACGTGGTCGAGCCGCAGGTGCAAGTGACCACGACCTGCGTCGGCAAAGACTGCTACAAGTAGGCGAGAGCAAGCGGTGCGCGCGCTATTCGAACGCGAAGTATGGATCGCAGTGTGGACGTACAAGCAGTTTTTTAGTAAGGAAGTTCGGCTTGTGAAAGCCTAGCAGGCGGCTACTGAGCAGCAGTTCGTGCTCGAGCGCTTGATGCAAGTTTGCAATCGCGACGCACAGCTTGCTGGGTTCCAGCGCGGCGAGAGCGTCGCGCAGGAAGCCGTTGAGCGCGGTGACGAAGCGGCCTTCGTCTGCGTACCAGCGGCTAGCTTGTTGCGCGAGCGCGAGGACGGCGGCGATCTGCTGGGAGCGCGTGAAACTTACGGCGGGCTGCAGCTCGGGCGGGACGGCGCCGAGGTGCGCGAGCGAGACGGGCGCGGGCGCGCGCGCGGGGCGCGTTTCGTTAGAGACCACGCGCACGAGGTCCAGAATGAGAGCGTTGTAGTGCTCGGCGAGCAGCGCGCGTGCTTCGTCGAGCGCTTCGCTGAAGTTCGCGGAGCGGATCCGCGGCAGCACGTCGGGGTTGACGCCGCTCTTGAGCACGAGGTGCCGGAAGAGCAGCGGACTGGTGGCGGGAGCGGGTGCGGGAGCGGCGGAGCAATAGGGGCAGCGGAGCTCGCGCGGCTCAAACAGCGCGCGCAGGTTCGCGTGCGCGAACTGGTGGTCGAAGCTCTCGAGCACGCGGCGCGTCTCGGGCGGCACGCATGGAGTGAAGAGGAAGCTGCGCGCGCCGCGACAAACCGGACAGCTGCGCGCGGCGTCGTCGCGGCCGGCCCACGCACTGGGAAGGCGAGTTTGCCGAGACACCGAGTTAATTCATATTTATATGCAAAATGCGTGAGGCGCCACGCAGCAGAGAGGCCGCGCGCGGCGCGCGCTAGCAATGGACGCGGCAGGGTGCGCGTGCGTGGGCGCGGCGCAGACTTTCGTGGCCTTTGAAGAGCTCTGTGCACGCTGCCAGCGCCGCGTGTGCGCGTACGCGGATGCGCAGGGGCTTGGCGCGCTGTGTCGCGCGCGGCCAGCGCAGGCGGCGGAGGGCGAGCTGGTGCGCGGGTCGTCGCCGGCGGGCGTGGCGGCGTTGGCTGCGACGCGGCGCGCGCGCGAGCAGTGGCGGCGGCGCGTGGCTGCGGCCGCGCACGAAAGCGCGGCGCTGCTGGCCTCGCGCGACCGCGAGAGCGAGTTGGCGGAACAGCTTACGGAGCTGCGGCTGTTGAACGCGTATTTGCAAGACTTGCGCGCGGTGTGCCTGTTGAACGAGAGCTACTACATCTGGGTGGTCGACGAGGTCGGCTACATCAACGGCGCTCGCGTGAGTCTGCTCGACGCGGACTGGAGCGGGCTGGAGGAGGTGAACACGGCGCTCGGCGACGTGGCGGCGTTGCTGCGGCACATGGCGAGCGTCGAGCAAGTCGCGTCGCCGGTGCGGCTGCTGTGCTACGGCGCGCGCTCGATGGCGGTGGACGCGGACAAAAAGGTGTTGCCGCTCTTTTTATCGACGCGGTTTATGCTGTTCCGGCTGGGGCTGCCGCAGTTCAACGCGGCGCTCAAGTGCCTAGTGGACTTGTTTGTGGCGCTCGCGGCGGCGCTCGCGGCACGCGCAGGCACGACGTGTCCGTTCGCGGTGCGCGCGGACTACAGCATAAAAGGGCACGGGCTGATGGTGGAGATGCAGAAGGAAGTAGAGTGGGCGGCGGCGATGCGGTACTTTTTGATTAATTTAAAGTGGGCGATTTCTGAATTTCACGCGCACAACCGCTCCGAGTTTTGATGGACGAGCGCGTGGGTGAGAAGCGCGCGGGCGCGGAGCGCGCGGCGCTCGAGCCGGCGGTCGCGTCGCAGCACCGGTTTGTGCTGGCGCGGCTCGAGGACGCGAAGCTCGAGCTGGTGACGCTCGGGAACGGCGACATCGTGCTGCGGCACGGCGTGCGCATCTGCGACGCGCCCGCGCTGCGCTGCCCGCTCTGCGGGACGGTGTCGAACAACGTGTCCGCGGAAGCCGTGAACTACTTCGACTTTCTGAAGTCGGCGCTCGCGAAGTTCCAGGGGAAGGCCGCGAGCGCGGCGCGGCACGAGCCGGGGCTCGAGCTGGAAGCGGAGCGCGAGCTATTCTCGCGCATCCCGCGGCACTTCATCGTGGACGGCTACTACCGCACGTTCTTCCGCGAGGAGTGCCAGCTCGGGCGCGGCGCGTTCGGGCAGGTGTTTTTGTGTCACCACTTCCTCGAGCGCATAAAGCTCGGCACGTTTGCGGTGAAGAAAATTCCCGTCGGCGACAGCCTCGAGAACTTGCAGGCGATGATTCGCGAGGTGAAGATGCGCGAGTCGCTCAGCCACCAGAACATCGTCTCGTACAAGCACAGCTGGCTCGAGCTGCTGCAGGGCGCCGCGCTCGAGTCGGTGCCGGTGCCCTGGCTGTTCGTGCTGATGGAGTACTGCGCGGGCGGCAGCGTGGAAGAGGTGCTGCGCAACACCTACGAAGTCGAGCAGTCGAGCCTCACGGACTCGGAGGTGTGGCTGATTTTCCACGACATCATCAGCGGACTGCAACACTTGCACCACAAGGGCATCGTGCACCGCGACCTGAAGCCCTCGAACATCGTGCTGAAGGTGACCGAGGAGATTTTCGCGGACGGCGAGAAGCACGCGCAGGTCTACGCGTGTCTCGCGGACTTCGGCACTTCGGACTACATTTCGAGCAGCCGCTCGGGGCTCGGCTACACGGGCTCGCTCGAGTACACCGCGCCGGAGCTGCTGCGCGCAGACGCCTCCGGGCGCTTTGTCGAGCGCTACCGCTTCGAGAACGACATGTTCAGTTGCGGGCTCATCTTGCATGCGCTCGCGTTCGGGCAGCTGCCCTTCGAGCTCAGCGGCAGCGACGCGAAGTCGCGCACCAAGTTCGAGGAGCAGTACCGCGCGCTCTTCGCCTCGGGCGTCTGCGCCGAGCGCGTGCCGTTCGCGACGCGCTGCGCGCCGGCGCAGCGGCCCGAAGTGATGCGCAAATGTGTCGCGGCGCTGTTGCAGCCGCGGCCCGAAAACCGCCCTGGGACAGACGCTCTGTTGCGCTTTCTGCGCAGCGGCTGGAGCGCGCTGGAAAAGTGCGAGAAGTCGATATTTACATTTCGCGAAATGTTGGCGCGGCGAATATTGCAGCGGGATTCGTCACATTTTAAAATTTCGCTTTGTAGCTAATGTTTTTCCGAACCAGACCCAAGATCGTAATCGTCGGCGCCGGCGGCATGGTGGGCGCCTCGACCACCTTCAGCATCGCGTTGAAGCGCATACCGTGCGACATCGTGATGGTCGACGTCGCCGAGAAGTTGGTCCAGGGCCAGTGCGCGGACATCCAAGACGCGCTGACTGACACCGTCGCCACGGTGCGCGTGGGCACGTTCAGCGACATCGCTGACGCGACGTTGATGATCGTGACCGCGGGCCTGAAGCAGCAGCCCGGCGAGCCGCGCTCTGCGCTGCTGCGCAGAAACCTGAAGGTGCTAAAGAGCATCTGCTCGCACGTCGACAAGGAGCGCTCGCCACAGCTGTGCATCATGATGGTCTCGAACCCGGTGGACGTGCTCACGTACGCGGCGCAGAAATTCACTGGGCTGCCGCGCGCGCAGGTGTTCGGCTCCGGCACCGTGCTCGACACGCGGCGCCTGCGAGGGTTCGTCGCGAAGCGGCTCGACGTGGACCAGCGCCACTGCCACGTGAACGTGGTTGGCGAGCACGGCGACAAGCAGGTGGCGGTGTGGTCTTCCTCCACGATCTGTGGCGAGAGCATCGAAAAGTTCTGCGCCGCGCGCGGCATTTGCGCGAAACAGCTCGCAGAGGAGACGATGAAGCGCGCGTATGAAATCATCGAAAACAAGGGCGCGACCTACTTCGCGATCGGCGCGACCGTCGCGGACGTGTTGCACAACTTGCTGTACGCCAAGGCGTCGATCCAGCCGCTGTGCACTTACAGCGAGGAGTTCGACTGCTACTTCTCGCATCCATCGTACGTCGACGGCGGCTGCAATGTGCGCTCCGTGCCTGTCAAGGCCTCGGAAGATGAGGTGCGCCGCATCAACGACTGCATCGCCTCGATCAAGGCGCAGTGCAAAGAGGTGGACGCATTTTGCGCGGAGGAATCGGCGTAGCCGCCGCGCGCAGCGCTCGGCGCTGCGATTCGCACGCACAGTCGTGCAGTAATTCCTGCATTTTTAAGAGTTGTAAAGTTTGCGTAGAACGGCCGCCGCACGCACCGGCGCGCTAAAGCAGTTTGTTCAGGAGCTGTACGTAGTCGATCTTGTCGCCGAGCTGCGCGAGGTTGACTAGCTCTTGGCGGTCGTGCTCGGTGAGCGCGGTGCCGATCGTGCGGAGCACTTCGTGGAACTCGCGGCTCGAGATGTAGCCAGAGTTTTGCGGGTCGAAGGTCTTGAACATTTCGGTGAGCCGCGTGCGCGGGTTGCGCGCGTCGTATAGCTGCTCGAGGCTTTGCTGCAGTGCCGCGGCGTCGCAGCGGCCCTGTTCGAACGGCAGACTGTCGAGCCATTCGCGCTCCTTGTCGTGCGTGAGGTAGACGCCCATGCCCATGAGCGCTTGCGTCGCCTCCTCTTCGGTGAGCCGACCGTCGCAGTCGGCGTCGAAGCAGACCACCACTTCTTTGCTTTTCATTACGCAGGTGCAATTAGCTGCATGCGCCGCTCCGCGCGGTGTGCTCGACTGCGAAAATAGTGCGAGATTGCGAACGGGCACGGACGAGCATGTGCCTGTCTGCCGCCAACGTAAGTGTCGTGCGCGCGACCGCAGATCGCCGTGCCGCTGCTCGACGCCGAGGGCCACGTGCACGGTACCTACCGCTTCGTAAGTGCGCCGCGCGGGCACGCAGCGCGGAAGCAGCGGCATGCTGACGCTGACCTACTTGCACTTCGCGCAAACCACCGAGCTGCGCGCGGGCAGCCGCGCGCTGACGCTGCACGGCGCCGCGCCGGTGGTCGTGCGCGCTCTGGCGCCGGAGAGCTCGCTGCAGCTCTGGAGCGCGAAGAAGCAGCACGCGAACAAGGTGAACCTCGGCGCGTACCACAACGACTTCTCCGACTGCGAGGTCGCCTACAGTCTGAGCGTGCCGCAGACGCACGTCTTCTTTTGCGGCTTTCTGCTGCACCTCGGGCCGCAGCTGGCCGTGTCGCTGCAGTCGCCCTCCGCCGCGGTGCAGCTGCGGCCGCGCGCGGCGCCGCGCGGCGCTGCCGGCACGCTGCCGCGTGACGCCGCGTACGTTGCGTACGCGGACGCGGACGACGTGCCGCGTTTGGCCGTCGAGTGCTCCGAGTTCGACCAGTTGGTCTACGGCGCGGAGCTCGGCGGCGAGACCGTGTGGGTCAACGACTGCGAGCGCGTCGTGCGCGTGCGCGAGCGCTTCCACGTGCAGGTCGGCGCGGCGACGCGCAGCGCGCCGACGAACTTCCCGGGCGAGCGCAGAGCCGCGACCGCTCCGGCGCTCGGCACGCCCGACGCGTTCTTCGACGCGGAAGCGGCGGCGTCGTTCGCGAAGCGCCGCGAACTCGAGGCGCTCTGGCGCGCCGCGCTGAACGGCGAGTGCGCGGCGCAAGCGCCGGTGGCGCCGCCGCAGAGCGCGCTGCTGCGACAGCTCCTCGCGCTGCTGCAGCGCGCGCGCGCGCCGAAACGCGACGCAAGTTACTAGCGCAAACGCCGGGCGTATAAAGCGCTAATTTTGTCCTATCAAATTTCTTTCTTTGTCTTGAAGATGCAGCGCGGAGCAAGCGCGCCGAAACCTGCGCGAGATTGATGGCCGTGGGAAACGCTCGGCTTGCGGAAACCCGCTGCGCGCCGGGAGACGCGCCGTCGGCGCGCGCTGCGCGCAAGACGACGAACGCGCTCTACGAGAGCGCCGTGGAGCCGCACGTGCAAAGCTTCGACCTGTTCCTCGAACACTTTCTGTCGCAGCTGCCGCACACGCTGCCGGCAGTGTACATCGACCCCGCGTTCGACTACGCGGTAAGCACGCGCACGCCGCTGGTGAGCGGCGCGGAGCACTTGGAAATTGCGGTGGAGGCGGTGGACGTGGCGCGCCCCGAGCTCGCGGTGAACGACGGGCTCGAGACGCGGCGCCGCCCCCTGTTTCCGAAGGAGTGCCGCACGGGCCTCTCCACCTACGCGGGCGCGCTCTCCGTGAAGCTGCGCTGCCGGCACTCGCGCTCGCAGCAGAGCTTCTCGACGGTGGTGCGCTGCGGCGCGCTACCGGTGATGTTGCGCTCGAAGGCGTGCAACTTGCGCGCGCTCTCGCGCGAGGCCGCGGTCGCCGTTGCCGGCGAGGAATTCGACGACGCGGGCGGCTACTTCGTGGTGAACGGGATGGAGAAAGTCGTCCGCTTCACGATCTGCCAGCGCGCGAACTTCCCGATCGTCGTGAAAGACGAGCGGTTCTGCGCGCGCGACCTGTTCTATAGCAGCTTCGCGTGCTACTTTCGCTCCGAGGCGGCAGACGGCACCGGCGTCAACAACATTCTGTACTGCACCGAAGACGGCCACCACGTGCTTCGGCTGTTGCTGAACCGGCGCGTGAAGCTGGTGCCGTTTTGGCTGCTGCTGCGCGCGCTGCTCTGGGCGCGCCCGCTCGAGGCGTTTCGCGAGCGCTTCGCGAGCAGCGGGCGCAACCTCGAGTTCGTGCGCGAGATGGAGCTGCACGCAGCCTCGTTCGATGTGCACGAAGGCAACTTCTCGGTTATTGACGCGCTCGAGAACCGCCACTTGTACTTGCTGGGCCGGCTCTTCTTCGACAGTGTTGTGCAGTTCCTGCCGCCCGGCGCGAGCTATAGCGACGCGGCGGCGTACGTCGTGCGCTACCACTTGCTTACGCACACAGACGACTGGGAGGAGAAGTTCGACACGCTCGTGCTGATGTTCGAGAAGCTGTGGCTCGCGCGCAAGGGCGCGATCGCGCCGGACAACCTCGACTCGCTGGCGTATCAGCAGGTGCTGACGCCGGGTCAGCTGTTCAGCACGGTGTTGAAGGACGCGCTGTGGAAGCTGTTGCGCGACGTAGCGCTGTGTTACTACACGCACTTGAACGACGTGCGCGCGGCGCAGCTCGACGTGTCTGCAGCGCTCGCGGACGCAAAGCTGTTCGAGTCGATCGTCGCGCGCTTCGGCCCGGCGGTCGGGGGCGAGCTGCACTACTTCTGCGCGACGGGCAACCTGCGGCCTTTCCAGATCGACTCGCAGCAGACTTCCGGCTGGGTGGTCACGGCGGACCGGCTGAACCACATGAAGTTCTTGTCGCACTTCCGCGCGGTGCACCGCGGGCAGTTCTTCACACAGGTGCGCTCGACGAGCGTGCGCAAGCTGACGGGCGACGCGTGGGGCTTCGTTTGCGCGGTGAACACGCCGGACGGCGGGCTGTGCGGCTTGCTGCAGCACTTAGCCAAGGACGCCACCGTGCTGAACACCGCGCGCAAGCGCGCCGCGGCGCGCGCGCTGCGCGAGCACTTGTTCGCGGGCGCTGGCTTGGAGAGTGCTCCGGCTGACGCGGACGGCGCTGCGAGCAGGCTCTGCAGCAGTTTCAGCGTGGTGGTGGACGGCGTGGTCATCGGCCGCGCGCCGAACGCGCGGTTCGCGGAGCTCTGTCGGCGGCTTCTCCGGTTGCGCGACGCGCGCATGTTCGGGCTCGACTTGTGCGACGAGGTCGCGCCGTTCGACCTTGCCAGCGGCACGAACCCCGGCGTCTTCGTGTTCACGGGCCCCGGTCGACTCGCGCGGCGCGTCGTGCAGCTCGCGAGCGGCGCGCCGCGACTGGTCGCGCCGCTGAGCCAGCCGTGGCTGGACATTGCTGTCGAGCCGACCGACGTCGCGCGCGCCGCGGAGCTGAAGGCGCTGTACTGCGCCGCGTTGCGCGCGGACACTGCGCCGCAGAGCGCGCCGCAGGCCGCGGCCGGCGCCTTGTCGTGCAACAGCGTCTGTCTGCGGCCCGCGTTCGTGGAGGGCAGCAAGACCGCGTTCCTGAGCATTCTCGCGAGTTTCACGCCGTTCTCGAACCACAACCAGTCGCCGCGCAACATGTATCAGTGCCAGATGCTCAAGCAAACGATGGGCACGCCGTTCCACTCGGTCCCGTGGCGCAACGACAACAAGGCCTACTACATTTTGAGTCCGAGCCGGCCGCTCGTGCGCACGGAGGACTACGACGCGTACGGGCTCGACAACTACCCGACCGGCACGAACGCGGTGGTCGCGGTGATCTCGTACACGGGCTTCGACATGGAGGACGCCGTGATCATCAACCGCGGCGCGGTCGAGCGCGGCCTGTTCGGCGGCTGCGTGTTCGCGACGAAGGTTTTCGAGGCGGCCCCGCCGCACGCGAGCGCGGCCGAGAAGAGCGCGTACGCGTTTTGCAACCTCACGGAGGCCGGCGAGACCGTGGTGCCGGGGCTCGACCGCGACGGCGTCGCGCCGGTCGGCGCGCTGCTGACCACGGGCACGCCGGTGGCGCGCAGCGTCAACGTGCAGAAGACTTCTGTCGCGCTGGGCGCCGCACAGACGGGCGAGTTCGTGCAGACGTACAAGGGCAGCGAGCCGGCGTACGTGCACAAGGTGACGTTGCTGGCGGCGGAGGCCGCGGGCGCGCCGATGCGGCTGCTGGTCACGTTCCGCTCGACGCGCACACCGGTGGTCGGCGACAAGTTCGCGTCACGCGCGGGGCAGAAAGGCATTCTGTCGCTACTGTACGACGCGGAAGACATGCCGTTCTCCGAGAGCGGCATCGTGCCCGACATTCTGTTCAACCCGCACGGGTTTCCGTCGCGCATGACGGTCGGCATGATGATCGAGTCGATGGCCGGTAAGGTCGCCGCGCTCTCCGGCGAGCTGCAGGACGGCACGCCGTTCCGCGCGTACGAAGACAAGCAGAATTTCGGCTCGTCGTGGATCGACGGCGGTGGCTACAAGGGCTGGCTGTACCGGCAGCAGCGCGAAACGCCGCGCGAGGCAGACGCGTGTTCGCCGGTGGACTATTTCGGCAAGGAGCTGCTGAGCCGCGGCTACAGCTACTACGGCAAAGAGACGTTGTACTCCGGCGTGCACGGCGCTCCGATCGAGTGCGACATTTTCACGGGCGTGATTTACTACCAGCGGCTGCGACACATGGTGAACGACAAATACCAGTGCCGCAACACGGGGCCCATCGACGCGCTGACGCACCAGCCGCTGAAAGGCCGCAAGCGCAAGGGCGGCACGCGCGTCGGCGAAATGGAGCGCGACTCGCTGCTCTCGCACGGCGCGAGTTTCACGGTGCAGGACCGGCTGCTGAACTGCTCCGACGGCACCGTGATGCACGTCTGCGCGAAGTGCGGCGTCATTTTGTCCGCGACCGAGGGCGGCGGCGCGGCGGCCGCCGGCGTGTTCTGCAGCGTGTGCCACGCGGCGTGCAAGAAGGTGATGCTGCCGTACATTTTCAAGTACTTCTGCAACGAACTGGCGATGCTGCGCGTGGTGCCGCGCGTCGCGCTCAGCGACGGCAACTGAGACAGTGGCAGTGCGTCGGCAGTGCGGACTGCGCGACGCGCATCGCCGTCTCGAGCTTCCACTCGAGCGCCGCGGCCGCGCGCTCCTCTTCGGCAGCGGCGGCGCTGTTGCGCAGCATTTGCGCGACGGCGCGCGCGTCGGCCGCGAAGCCCGCGAGTTCGCATAGGTGCGCGGGGTCCATGAACGCTGCGAGCAGCGCGAGCGGCTTGCAGAGGTCGTGCTGCAGAAACGCGCGCAGCTGCTTGAGCGTCTTCGGCCGGTCGACGCAGTCGCGCGCGGCCGCAATCTGCACCGTCTCGAGCAGCTGCGCGACGCTGCTCACGGGGACTTCGGGCCGCGCGGTGAAGGCGAATTGCTTGATCAGACTCGCGGTCAGGCTGCTGAGCAGCGCATCCTGCACCGAGGGCGCCAGCGCGAGCGGCGCGGACGCGGCGTCGCTGAGCGCGCCGGCGGGCTGTTGCGAGTGGCGCAGCCGCGCCGTGGCCTCCGCAAAGTGCTGGAGCCGCGCCAGCGTCTGCAACACTTTGTGCAGCGCGGCGACGGACAACGGCGCGCGGAACGTGCGGTTCGCTTCCTCGAGCAAGCTCTGACTCACCTTCGCGGCGTACACCACGCACTTTTTGGAGTGCGTGCGCAGCCACTCGCGCTCCAGCTGCTGCGCGAAGCCGGCGTCGTGCGCGCGCGCCGCCGCGGCGGCGCGCAGCGAAAAGAGGTTTAACAGAAACAGCTCAACTACCGCGGAGTCCGCGAGCGCGAGGCGCTTGCGCTCGCCGGCCAAGAGCGCGGAGAAACACTTTTCGTACTTTTCGCGCAGCGCGGTTTCGAGTTCGTGCTGCAGGTCGAGGCAGCACGCGTTTTCGAGCAGTGCGCCGAAGTAGTCGGCTGCGTGCAGCCGCTCGAAGTTGTCGAGAGTGCTGGCGAACAGTTCGCGCCGCACGCCGTTCTCTTCTGCCGCCGCGGCCGCTAGGTTCGTCACGCTGCGCACGGTGCTGAACAGCCCGCTGCGCGCCGCGTCCGCAGAGACCGCGGCGGAGAGCTTCGCGAAGTGCTCCTGCAGCGCCTTGCGCGTCAGCGCCTTGAGTTTCGCGTGTCGCGCGCAGAAACGCGCGTAGGCCGCCTTGGTGAGCGTCAGCGCGGACAGCAGCTCTGCGGCAGCCGGCTGCACGAACAGCTGGTACTCGGCGCGGCGCCCGTGCAGCAGCGCGTTCGCTTCGAGCGTCTGCTCGCGCGCCCCTTTCGCGGCCGTGCCGAGCGCGAGCCCGCGCTGCGCGACCGCGGTTTCGTAGGCAAGGAAGCGCGTCGTGGTCTCGCAGCAGAAGAGCTGCGCGTGCAGTGTCGCGATGCGCGCGCGCGCGGCTTTGGCCGCTGCGAGCGTGGCGGCTAGCGACTGGCGCAGTTCAGCCGGCGCCTTGCGCGGCGGCGCGCACTGCGCGAGGCGCGCCTGCAGCGCGGCGTAGGTCGCGGCGCCGGGCTGCGCGCGGTCGAGCGAGGATTCCTGCTGGGTGCGCGCTCGCACTTACCAGGTTGATGCACGCGTTGAACAGTTGGGCGCGGACGCGCGCGAGCGTCTGCGTTTCGGCGGCGCAGTCGAGGCCGCTCTCGTCGAGTTTCACTGCGTGCAGCAGTTGCGAACCTACGAGACACGGCGCTCAGCGCGTGCGCAGCGGCGAGCGCGAGGTTGGGCGCCGTTGCGGCCATGCCCGCTCAGTAAATAAATTGATTAATCTGCCGGCGATCTAAAAAGTCTCGCGATGTCGCGAGCTCGTTTGCTGCACCATGCAGCAGCTCACGCAGTCGGTCTTTAAAAATGTAAACCTGCTCAACCTCATTTACGATGACGAGAAGATTTTGCAAGAGGCGCGCGTGCGGCCCAGCGACGCTGCGCGCAGCACCGGCAAGAGTGCCGTGGCGGCGCAGGCGAAACACGTCAGAAAGCGCGCGCTTTTGGCCGCAAAGTCTGCGACTTCGACTGCGAGTTCCACCGCCGACAGCAGCGCGGAGTTCTCAATACTGCTGCAGTCGTCCGCGACGGCGACTTCGAGCGAACACGACTCCGGAAGCGCGAACGCTGCTTCGCACAGCTCAGCCGAGGCGCCAGTCGCAGCGCGCGCGCTGCGCCGCAGCGTAGAGCTCGCGCTGCCGGACTTCGACTCTGAGTCGGAGGACGCCGGGTCGCGCGTCGCCGCGGAAAAACCTCCAGAAGGCGCGCAAAGTGCGTTCGACAAGCTCAAAAACGACTTTACGGCGATCAGACGTGCGCCGCGCGCGAGCACTCCGCGAGCTGCGCCGCAGAGCTCCGCCTCGAAGCGCATCGCAACGCCGGGTTCCGAAGCGCAAGGCTTGCGGCAACTGGGTTCCGAAGCGCCGGAGCTGGTGGCAACGAAGCCGGTGGCGCCGAAGACGGTGGCAACGAAGACGGTGGCGCCGAGGACGGTGGCGGCGTCTGTAGTTATGCCGCTGGCTGATCCCCCGCCGGCTGCGAGCGCGACGCAGCAAACCAGCTTTCAGTCCTCTGGCGGAGCGCCTGCGCGGTCGAAAGCAGCCGAGAGCATCGGTTCTTCGGGCGAACTGGTGCTCGTAAACGCAGCAGCGCTGTCTCGGCCGACTGAGCGCGCTGTAGTGAGAAAGTCTCTTGTGGCGGCACGAGCGGCGCCGCCTGGTGCGCGCGAGGCAGGCATAGTGGCGCGCTTTGCAGCAAAGGCGAAGTCGCGGTTCAGCCGAGTCGAGACAGTCAAGGGAGAAGAAGTGCAAGCAGCGAGCGCGGGTTGGAACGCAAGCAACTCAGTGGTAGAGGAGCGGCGGAAATTCGCGCGGCCGAAGCTCTCGCGCGCGACGCATCCCGAAGGCCTCGAGACTCGTGCAGCTGCCGGCGTCAACGAGTTCAGCAAGTTTGAGCAGCGCGCGATTCAGAGAAAACTCGAGACGTCCGACAGTCTGAAGCGGATATACGCCGCGCTGGCCGCGGACCAGAGCGCCGCCTTGGGAGCAACGGAATTGCGCGCAGCGCGTAGCAGTTCGGCGCTAATCGCATCAAGCCTGCGCAAAGCGGCGCGTCTCGGACCCGAGCGCGCTCCGGCGGCACTGGAAGACGCACCTGGGATTGCGGCACAGCACTCGACGCCGGCCTCGCGCAGCGAGTCGTCGAGCTGGCCACCAGCCGCGCTGTCTGCTTCGGGCCGTCTGCGCACGGGTCGCGGCGAGGCGGCCGCGGGCGCCGCGGTCGATCAACCGGAAGAGGCGCGTTCCACCGCGGCATTAGCCATGGCTGTGTTTGACGACCGCGGCCTTGTCGCTGCGCAGCCGGCGCAGCTCCTTGGCACACTGAGCCGGGCTGCTTCGCCTGAGGCAGGCGGCGGCGAGAGAGCGCGCGCAGCGGAGGTTCGGGCTCGGGCTCGAGCGCGGTCGCAATTCGCGCTTCAGGCGCTGATGCAGTTGGACAGTTTGCAGAACGTCACCTTCGAGTTGCCGCGGCAAAAGACGCTGTGTTACGTGAAAAACCAAGCGCTGCTGAGAGTGAGTTTAGAGCTGGCGCGCGCTTCGGAAGTTACGGCCTCTCGCTCCGACGTCGGCGAAGGCGCGGTCGCGACTGCGCAAAGCGGCGCGGTCTCGAGCTCCGGCGAGTTGGCGTTCGAGTTCGAAGCGCTCGACGCGTCCGCGCTCGACGCGTCCGCGCTCGGCGCGTCCGCCCGCGAGACTGTCGGTAGGGCGGAGCGAGCAGCGGACGCGCGCGCTGAGGAGAACCTGCTGAGTAGAGGGCTCGGAGCGCTCTTAACGCGCTTTTGGACAGCGAACGCGCCGCCCGCACCCGCTGTCTCTCGCGAAGCTGAATCGCCTGTCGCAGAAGCTTGCGCAGCGCGTTCCGCTGCGGAAAAAGCCGCAGCGCTGCGCGCCGCGTCCAGCAGCTCTGTGTCAGCGACAGTTGCGGAAAGCGACGCTGCGGCGTTCGACGCGAGGTCGGCTGGGCGCCTCGCTGACGCGCCAGCTTCGCCGAGGGCAGCTGAGCGCCTCGCCGACGCGCCGGTTTCGCTGACGCGCAGTTTTGCAGAACCGCTTGTTGCAGCGAAAGCGGTTGGCGACTCGGCGACACGCCTCGCTGACTCACTCGACGTTGCGGTTCGCAGCTCTGCGGAGCGTAAAGGTGACGCAGCTGCCGCAGCGCCTCCGCTGGTTCCCGAATTCGATTCGGTCGTTAGCAGCACAGCGGTTGCGGATGCAGCCGCTTCTAGCCGCGGAGCTGGCAGCCGAGTGCGCAACGAAGGCGCTGTTTCGGACGACGGGACTAGTGTGCAGCAAAACGCTCGAGCTGCGTCCGGAACGAGCGTTGCGAGCGATGAGTACATGGCGCGGCGCAGACGCCGCCACAGCCAAGTGCTCGCTAACGCGTTCAGTCTGACGTTCAGCAGCTCTTCCGCTTCGGACGCAAAGACGACCAGTCGCTTCTCGGTGGAGCGACTGCCGGTGGCAAGCGGAAGCGTCGCGCTGCTGAGCGGCTCGGCGGAGCCGCGCGCCGCTTCGCGGGACGCGAGCGGAGCGCAGGCGAGGCGGCGCGTCTCGGAGTCGTTTAGCGCCGACTGGCCGCAGCCGAGTGCGCCGCCGCATTCGGCTCTGAACGTCGCAGGGTCGTTCGCGCAGTTGATTGAGGACGCAGAAAATCGGCTGACGCAGCAAGCGTTGCTGCAGCGCGGCAGCTTGAGCGGCCTCTCGCTGGAGCTACCCGCGGCGCTGGTTGCCGCGCGGGAAAGCAGACAGGAGAGTCCCGAGAAATTGGCAGCGCGTAGAGTCGCGATGCTCGCGGTGCGCGCGAGAAGAGCTCGGCTCTGCGCCCGCCCCAACTCGTTGCAGCAACGAAAGAGCGCTGCGCGGCGTCGCTCGAAGCTTGACCCGCGCGCCGTGGAAGCTGCTTGGGCAGCGCACCGCAGAGCGCTCCTGCCCGCGACGCTGCCGTCGCTGTTGAGGCAGCTGCGTTACAAGAACCGCTCTGTCGCGCGCTGGCGGCGACCGTCGCAGCCAACCGAAGCCGCCCACGGCGTCGTCGAGGAGCCGGCGGCGCCGCTGAGGTCTTGGTTCGAGCTGGGCTTGCGGTTCGGTGGAACGCCCGAGAAGGTGCCGCCGGAGGTGCTGCAGTTGCTCGGCAACGTGCTGTACCGAAAGCGCGCGGGCGTGTCCGCGGCGAGCACGGGCGCGCGAAATGGAACGGCCAGCGCCAGCAGCGGCGCGCAGGTGCCCGAGGCCGCGGCTGAGAAGACGCCTTTGAGCAGCATGCGCGCCGCAGCGCCGCCGGCGGCGACGCTAGAGAGCGTAGCGGCCGAATCTGTAACCGGTTCCGCAACCGGTTCCGCAACCGGTTCCGCAACCGGTTCGGCGGCAGAGTCCGCTGCGACAAGCGACGAATCAGTCGCGGTCTGCGCAGACGCGCCCGTGGCACTCAGCGAGGTGATGAGCCGCCCGACGCCTCGCGCGTCGGCAGAGAGCGGCGAGCAGTCGAGCGCCTGCAGCGGCGGCGCGGTTGCTGCGCGCAGAGCGGAAGTCTGGGCGGCTCCGCTGCAAGAACCGTCTGCGCTGAGCTGCGGGATGGAGTACGGCGCTTTTCGCCGCTGGGCGAGCGGCATGCGCGGCGCGCGCGACTCGTCGACGGAGCGGCAAATGAGCGAGGTCTACTGCTTCTGCCTGGCGGCGGCGGAGAGTCTGGCTGCGGACAGCGGCGCGCGTGGCCGAGCGCTCGACGCAGAAGCGGCGGACGACGCGGCCGACGGCGCGGGCGACGGCGCGGGCGACGGCGCGGGCGAGTCGCGCGACTTGGTGCGGCTGTTTCTGAGTCCGTTCTCGCGCGAGGAGCTGCGCGCATTTTCGAGCGAGCGCTTGTGCGCGTTGAGCAAGATCAGCGTCGCGGCAGTGTTCGCCGCGACGCAGGGCAGCGGCGCAACGGCCGCCGCGTCCTACACCGCGCTGCTTGCGCGCCACGAGGGCTATCTGGCGGAGCGGCGCTTTCTGCTGCGGCTGCGCGGGCTGGTGCGGGCGCGGCTGCAGACGAGCTTGGCGACGTTGCGCGAACGGCTGGGGTTGCGGCAGTGGCGCGCAGAGTTGCGCAGCACGCAGTTTGCGTACGCGAAGGTGCTGTCCATCCTGCGTCTGCGGTACGCGCTGCAGATCTCGAGCGTGTTTGTGCTGCTGCGGAGCAACATGCTGGAGCGGCGGCCCGTGCGCGCCTCGGCGCCCGCGCTGTGGCTCGAGCGGCGCGCGCCCGCGCGAGCGCCCTTTGGACTCGTGCAGCCGGCGACTGCGGCGCACAATCCGTGCGTCGTGCGCGCGGGCGCGTCGGCCGCGGTTGACCGCGCGCTAAAGCAGATGTACGAACAAGAGGACTACCAAAGGGCGCTTTGCGCGGCCAAAAGTTTGTACGCACACATTCAGCGCGCGCAGCACTAGCTGCGCGCTAGCTCCGCGCGCCGCTGCAGGACAGCGCGGCGCGCCAATTTGTCGGCCGAATTTGGATAGTCAGTATTTTATCATAGAATGAAGCGCTCGTTCAGATCTTTGGAGGAAGACGAGGACGTTGGAGACAACAGTTTGAAACGCTCGGCGGTGAGCGTGGAGCAGCGCAGTTCGGCGGCCGTCGCGGGGCCTGCTGAGCGCGACGCGCCGGTTGCGGCGCGGCCGCGTGCGGCTCTCAGCGTTTCCTCGAGAGACGGAGCTGCGAGCGGCAGTGCGGAAGCTTCGACGGCCGCGAGCAAGCCGGCGAGCGACGCGGGCGAGGAGAGCGGCGCGGCGGAGCCGGCGGCGAAGGCAGCGCCGGCTGCGGCTGCGGCTGCGCCCGTGGCTGCGCCCGTGGCTGCGCCCGCGGCTGCGCCCGCGGCTGTGCCCGCGGAGCCGGGCGCGAAGCCGGCGGACGCGGCTCCGAGCGCCGGCTTTAAATTTAGCCGCTTTTTGTGCGCGGAGGGTTTTTGGTCGGAGCCGGACAAA